TGCAGACGCTCCGTGAACAGACCCGCGCAGCAACAGCAGCATCGAATGCTGTGCTCGCGCCTCCCCAGCCCAGTATGCCTTGCTTCTCCTGCAAGGTGCAGCTCCAGCTATGTCCTTCAAGGGACACACAGGGTCCCACCCTGCCATGATTTACTCTTGTGCTCAGCTTGTCCCAGGCCACGTCCCAGCTGCCCCTGGGACACGTGGCTAGTGGCCCTGCCCCAGCCCAGCCCAGCCCAGCCCCCACATGTGTTCACCTGACAGGCTGAATCCAGACTGATGCAGGTTCCTGACAGGGGGGGTCTGCCGTGTGGGGGATCCCCTGGCTGACCCCGCAGGGGTGCCCCCCTTGGGGGTGGTGGTCAGGTCAAACACTGGTCCATCGTACATGCCCCGGGGCACAGCGTGCATCTCCGCCATCTGTCACCAGAGAGAAGAGGATAGTGACACCTTCCTGCGCCCAGGGAGCGTCACCCTCTGGCCACCCCTGGCTCCAGCCCCCTGCAGAGGGAACTCACACTGCCAGCCCCGTGCCCTCCACCCTGCAGTGCTGAGTCCCGGCACTGCCCCACCACCTGCCCTTCACCCCCGCCCTGCAAGGTGTGCAGGGCCAGGGCAACAGGTAATGGCTTCAGTGGGGCTTATGCTGCACGGATGGGGGTGAAGAAGGCAATTTTAAACTCAGCATTTCCCTCCAGACTCCTGCTGCAGCAGGATGGAACGGGGACAGGCATCACCACTCCTGACCTTGAGAAGCACCTGCCCCTAGCATGGCACACCATCAACACGAGGGCAAAGCTCCCTACCCAAACCTCAGCTATCCCAAGTGTTCGTTCAAATTACACCAGTTTGCAGCACAGTTTCCAGGGTCCAGTGAGAACAGCAGAGGAAAACCAACCAGTTATTAAGGAACAGGGCAGACTGGACTAACAGGGTCCCAGCTCCGCTGGCATCCCCACGTCCTCACCTTTCTCCTGGCTTTGATGCGCTTGTAGACATAGTCAGGGAAAGGGCTGCTGGGCAGGAAGCGTCCAGTCCCCTGGGTCACATGCAGATTGCCATCCTCCAGCATGATCTTCCCCTGGCATATGACAACCAGCGGCGCCCCGCGGAGCTCCATCCCCTCAAAGATGTTGTATTCGGCCGCCTGCAGCAGCCCAGGGATAACAGTCAGGAGTGACATGAGCACTGCCTGCCCACTCAGAGAAGGTCAGTCCCCACACCTCACGCCGGAGTCACGAACATGAACCAGGACCTGCTGCTTTGAAGCTCAGTGTGAAGAAAGACTCCGAGAACAGAGCAGGGCAGGACCTACGCTTGAGGTAAGGCATGAACAAAGCATGCTCGCAAATTCAGGAAAAATTTGTGCCCGGAAGAGGAACCCAGGTAAGGAGAAATATGTGTCCTTACACCTGTGTGGGCCAGGGATAGAAGAACACCTGAGCGAGGCAAGAAAAGCCCCATGTGCAGAGCCCAGGGCTCACAGTCATAGACTGCAACTACCAGTCCCAGCTGGTAGTGCCCAGAGCCTGGGCTCAGTCCCCACTCCTCGAAGCCAGGCAGGGCAGCACCAAGCTCCCAGCAGCCAGGCAGCCTTTCTACAGAGACCCCACCCACAGCATCCCCAGAGGTGAGCACAGACTCACAGACTGGTGGGTTTTTGCCGTGACGATCTTCACTGCATCAGGATCCCAGATAACCAGGTCGCTGTCCGAGCCCACAGCTATTCTCCCTTTCCGTGGGTACAGGTTGAAGATTTTTGCAGCATTAGTGCTTGTCACAGCCACAAACTGGTTTTCGTCCATCTTTCCTGTGGCCTGCTCAGACATGAAGACAACTAAATCCTCTTTTGGGGAAAGGGAGAGTAAGAGCCCCAGGAAGCCCCAGCCACTGGCTGGCTGGGCCCAGCTGCTGAGGCTGATCTTACTACTGGTGTCAGACAGAGCGAGGACGGGGGCACAGTCACAGCCCCTGGCTATTCTGCCCCAACCTGTGACAGTCACCTCTCCTGCTTGGCTGCATTTGACTCTGAGCCAGGGAGGGACATCCCAGGCAGTTGAGTGCCCAGTTCTGTGCGAGGTGCCTGCCAGCCCTGCCCACTCCGCCCCTCCCTGGAAGGACTCTCACCACTGCCTTGTCCCAGATGACAGACATTCGTTCCTCTATGCCGTTGGTCCCTTCTGGGATTGCCGTGAAGTTGTCTTTTCCGATGGCTTTCTGCGCAGTGCTGAAGGTACAGTGAGCACTTCCTGAAACCTGCAGGTCCCCACTGAGGGGTGGTGGGAACAAACACATCATCAGTTGTTTTGCAGTCAGACAGCAGCAGGGGCATGAGGGACGTGGATGTCCTCTGGCCACGGCCACCCCCAGCTCAGTTATATTTTACTCTGCACCCTCATTTCCACGGCCCCTCAGCCTGAAGGCTTCCACCCAACCCAGCCCCTGGGGTGTCCGTGTCACTTGGGGGTGCCACACTGCCCACCTGGGCACGGACAGCATCCTGCACACGAGAGAAGTCAACAGCTCAGCTCCCAGGGAACAGGGTGGCCTTTGTATCAGGCCAGAAGATGCCCTTCCACACCAGACTCAGCACAACGAGAAAAAACATTCCAGTGCAAGCCAGAAAACCCATACCTGGCAGTTTGTTGGGTCTGCTTGGGAGAGCCCTCCTGCCACAAAGGGAAGAAACGGCTCCAGGACTGCTGACCAGCCAGCCCCTGTGTGGTGCACTGCCAGCTCCTGCACCCCGAGGGCAAGCCCAGCCCTCCTCTGCCCCACAAAAGCCTGCTGCAAGGCAGTGCAGGGAGTCAGCACTCCCCAGCAGCAGCTCTCTCCAAGAGTCTCAGAAACTCTCAGGTGCTTTGCAGCAGCTGCTGCCTCATGCCATTGTCCAGACCCCTCTGACCAAAGGGGTCACTGGACAGATAAGATGCCCTGACCCATCCTGCTCCTCAGGAACAGGGCCAGCAAGCTGCCAATAGCCAAGGCAGGGCCAGGAGCTGACCACGGCTCCCTGGAAGTCACCCAGCTGCTGCTGGGTCCTCAGGGAGCAGTGGACAGGCAGCAGCTGAAAAGCCATCAGTGCCAGGTACAAGGAAGCAGACCAAGCCAGCCCAGCTCCCAGCGCTGCCCACGCAGGGCGAGCAGACTCAAGCACCTGAGCAGTGCAGACACAGCTCGACTCTGCTGTGAATCAGCCCTAATCCACTGGTCATCTCCACCTTCCTCTGATAATTTCTGCCATATGTCTGACGGACTACACAGCCAGAGGCCCAGGCTGATGACACAACGTGCTTCCTAATCTCCACCAGATTTGTCCCAGTGGAGGAAAACAAGTCATCCAGCCCAGCTGGAGCCTCACAGCCTCTCCTCCCGCTGCACCTCACAGGAAACCGTACAGCAAAAGTGTCAGGACAGACACCTGTGGGCTGCAGGGACTGACAAGTGCTTGTCTCTCTTTTGAGGCCTGGGCTAAATTGGAAGAGAAGGATCAGAAAGCCAGTTCAGGAGTTTTGGCTCACTTTTCCCTGCCAGTCGCTAAGACCTGCACCTATTTTATACACTCAGACTGAGCAGAAGCATCTCTTGATCCCTGACCACAGCAAAATCCAGGGTGAGCTGCATATTCAGCTCCCAAATGCTCTGGCACCTCTCTCACACCCAGCCATGGCATCTCCACTCCGACACAACCCTGGTTTATCCCAACACACCCTGCTGCCGAGACACCTCTCACTGATGGCTCATCCTGACTGAGGTTGAGTCCAGCATTATGTCAAAGGTCATTTCCACTTATAACTCCCTCAGTGCCACCATCCCCTGGCTAGCAGGGAGCAGCCACCACATACAGACACAGGCCAAGGGGTGCATGAGGGACACGAGGGCAGGGCCAGGAATGTGCAGCATCCCCAGTGGCTGACAGTGAGAGTGGAGTGCCACTGTGAAAGGTCACAGCAAACTGCTTTACTGCTTTTATTGTTCGTCTTTGTTCTCAACAAATCCCTTCCTCACACCCTTGCTTCCAGCTGAAAAAACAACCTACCATCCCAGCCAGACGTGCAGGAGCTACTCCCAGAGGCCTCCTGCACTCTGCAGGCTCTGCCACTGCTCACCTGTACAGGTGTGAGAACACATCCGCTTTGTATGGACTGGGACCTCCACCAGCCTGTGACACCTGTAACCCCTACGCCTTCTCCTGCAGCATCCCAATCCAGGCAGCCATTCCCCACTTCTCCAGCTTGGTAAATGCTTCTGTTGACAAGTCTGTGTTAGCTGGTTCTCATTTCTTTGCCTTCTTCAGGGCATTTAAAATGGTTGACGACTACTTACTCTGGCATTTTCCTCATTACTGATGTTAAGATTAAGTGCCTTCCCTGTCCTCCCTTCACTCCCAGGGATAAAACACCATGGCTTTGAGTCAGAGCCGTTTCACCAGTCAGCTCATTAATACCTACAGTGAAGTGGTTCAGGCTGCATGTCTACACTGCCTGGGTACTCCCTAACCTCTTCCTTCCCTATCCAGAGTCCACCTGCCCCTAACAGCATCCCCAGCAGAGCTGTCACTCACCTGGCCAGGAGGGAATTGATGTAGTCAGGAGTTGTCGGGTCTGGGCTCAGTGGTGGAGAGACCACAAATGCCGCAGCCTTGGCCCAGTTCTTGCTCCAGTAGTGTGTCCCATCAGTCCCCAGACTGGCCGTGATGGGCTCACCAAACACCACAATGCCTGAAAAGGAGCACAGACAGGATTCTGTTTCGGGGCAGCTGGAGGCATTCTCCATTCCACAGCACTACCAACAGCCTGCCATGCCCAGAGAACATCCAGACCCACCCTGCCTGCTTGTGCCCCAAGTGCTGGGGCAGGCAGGAGAGACAGCAAGCCCTGCCTGCCATCAGCATAGGGTCCTCCTGTTCAAGGGCACAGGACTAGTGCACAGGCCTTCTCGTTCACAGATGCTGGGGCATAGAGCCCACTGAACGCAGCTCTCGACATGCCACACGCCTGTGGGGTGTCCTTGTGCTCCACCCCAGTGACAAATGGAGACCCCAGCCACCCGAAAAGGCACCCAGACACTTCAGAGACCAGAGCTATGCACAGCAGCTCAAACCACTAGCATGTGCACAGAACAAGTACCTTCAGCGAGCCCTTCGCGGCCACAGACAAACTGTGGCATTTAAAGCATTGCCCCTATCTGTGCCCCAGATACTGATCTTACCTGACGTGGCAACAGGAGGTGGCTCCGTGTGGCCTGGTGCAGTGTCCCCCTGCGCTTCACGGGTCAGGCTAATCCCTGAGCTAACTGTTTCCCAGCAGAACAGGAAGCACTAGACAGCACTTAAGGCACAGTAGTGGTCTTGGCAAACAACCATCAGGACATGGGGACCACATAATACAGGACCCCAGTGGTAGCAGCAGGGCTGAGTGCAGCACCAGCTACCACTCACCTTTTTTTCTGGCTTGTGAGATGAGGTCAGCAGCACTTTTGCTCATCACTTTAGTCACGTAGAGAGGGCAGTTGGTCTGGCTGGCAATAGTAATGGCCCGGAAGACAGCTTCTGCTTCCAGCTGGAACAGAGGATGGCACACAGCTGCAGAGGAGCACAGAGCAGGCAGGAAAGAGCCTCTGCTCCTCTCAGCACAGTACAGATTGCTGCTGACACCTTGCGCCCTTGATTTTACCCTCAACTCTCCAAGGGCAGACCCTGAGCACGGGATCCCTGCTCCCCCCTGGAGAGACCCGAGCAGGGAAGCTTCAGTCTCCTCAAGGCCCAGCCCAAATTGCAGACTACAACAACACAGTGCCTGGCACAGGAGCACTACCCGGACCCTGCTCAGGGGCCGGCACAGAGCTGCATCTGCTGTTTTTTCTGCTGCCTAGTTCCAACTCTCCTGCGAGCCCGAGGAGCCCAGGGACTGCCCAGCCTGACAGTACGCAGGAGGGTCGGCCCTTCCAGAACACTCCCTGCTCCAGGCTGTCCCACAGCCGGGGGAGGTTTACCCAGACATCCCCTGCTCGTGGCTGGCTGCAGGGAGCTGCAGGCTGGCAGGCTGCTGGCACTGGGGCCTGGCCATCCTGCGGTGCAGCTGCTGACACCAGCCCCATCTCACTGTCCTGCTGTTAGTGGAGGGCAGACTTCCATCAGGAGGGATATCTTTGGGCAATTACATCAGCCTGTGCTCACCCTGAACTCAACCCCAGAGTTCATCCAGCATTTGCTCTACAGTTTGGCTTCCAGCTCTGGCATGAGAAAGTTCAAAACAGAAGCCTTAAAAAGACAGGAGTGATGCAGCCCCGGGGCAGGCTGGGCGGCTGGCAACAGCACCTGGGGCTGGGGCTATGCCAGCCGAGCTGTCCCAGGGCAGGAGAAGCAGAGCTCTGCACCCAGACACACATATGCCCCTATGCTTCTCATACTTCTGCAGGACTATCTGCTGTATGGTGAAAAGAGGTTTTTCTCTTCTGCTTAAAGACTCTTTACATAGGAATTTTAACAATCAAACATTTTTATCAGCACACTTATGGACTGGAGTAGTTGATGGGGTTTCACACGTGGACAGGAGCAAGCAGCCATCACTGAATACCCTCCCAGCAGGTTACAGTCTGGAGGAGCACCATCCTGCCCTAGTGAGACACCACCATCACCTGATAGAAGAACATGTCTTTAACCCCCAGGTTAAAGAGATCCCTCCAGGACACACCAGCGCTGCAGATCACTCTCCCAGTGCTCTGCCATGCACCTGTGGGCTTTATGGGGTAGTAGGGTCAATTGTGCTCCACCTAACATTTTCCCAGGTAGAACATGGTCTGGAAGAGGGACACTTTTTATTTTCCAAGGCAATGAGATCTGGATTTGTCTGAACAGATGATATCTAGAGCCTTCTTGCCTTATGCTTTGCTGGCATTTCAAGATCAAACACTCAGCAATGTTTTACTGGCTCTGGATGAGATCTGCAGTGCTGTCTTATGGTAACAAGACAGTTCTCAAATCCTGGCACAACCACAGCATTCCATAATTGCACCTTAGCTTGTCAACTAGTGGCAACAGGTCTAGAGTCATAAAAATAAATGGTAGCTTACACACAGAAGGACTCTGAGTCACTATATTTGACACTGAGACTCTTCACTGGTTTGCTTTCAAACCAGCACACGTCCCTGTACAGAAAAATGCTCTGCACTCTTGTACTTCAAAGAGAACAAGCACAGTATTACACTAGGCCATATATGCTGTTACCAGCCCTACGACAGCCAACCTCTTGTGCTTTTCATTTAAGTCAAGTGATTTTATGTCAGCAGACTCTGTAGTATAAATCTGTCCCTGTCCTTCCTTACTCAGCCTTGCTATTGTGCCAAATTCCTAAAGTTTTCTTCTTTCACATGCTGTGGAAAGTTAAAGCACCTCTCAGCACAGAGTTATCTCAAGAAAACCTCTCTAAAATTAGACTCAACTCAGATTAATGGACCAAACAGAAAAATACCGTGCAAGCTAAAATTAGTAGTCATCTAATCAGTGTTCTGAGAATGATTTGTAAGCAGGGAATTCCCCCTCTCCTTCCACCAATGGCTTTGTCCATCTGACTCTGAAACACATTTTAGACGCTAAGCAGAGATTAAGCAGGAAGAGGACGGAATTTGTCAGCATTCAGATGTGAACGGTGAATTTTCAGAGGAACTAAGACTCACCATTCGATTCTTCTCAGGCCTGTCACATTTGTAGAGTCACCTACACAAGACAATTGCCCCCAAGCCACCCCAAAGGCTGCTACAGCTGTTTTTTATTGATGGATTCCTCTCTCTCAGGCTCAGAACAAGGGTTCTGTCTCTCCTGAGCAACTCGAGCAACACTGAGAAATGTTTGTCACAAACATGCACCTCGCTCTTTCCTGGGCTGATGATGAACAAACCAGCAGTGCCTGTATAAATGGATACACATACACACACTCCTGCTCCAATGCTTGCCTGGCCCCACTCCACACACTGAGCCCACCTGTGACCGGGAAAGCTCTTCAGTGCAGCAAGGCTGAACTGTTCTCTGCCTCTTACCTCCTCAGGCCTGCTCAGCACATGGCCCTCGGGGCCTGTTATTCCCATCTCCAACATCCTGGCTTGTTCCTAGGACATTGAAAGGACAGAGGGATGTTACAAGACTGAAACTATCAACTAGAAAAGCAGATCCCTCCTGTGTCAAGCCCTTCCCTCAAGACCACCATCACTCTATGTCCTGTGGGACCACCAGGCATGGTGAGAGGCTGCTGCAGCCTTGGGGGGTTTGAGAGAGAATGAAGGAGGATGGGGAAAAGGGTGGGCAGACACTGACCGAAACCTCTTTGATGAAACAAGCACAGTGTGGAGGCAAAAAAGGGGCACAAAACTCCCCAGCCCCTCCAATTCCCAGGGCTGTGAAGTGCTACCAATTAATAGTTTGGGGGCATTTCACAGTTAGGCTGGTGCTGAAGTAGACGTAAGCTCTAGCCAATACAATTCCTCTGATCATTTTCATGTGAAGGAGCCATCCAATTATGCACTGCACCTCTAAAAAGTTCAAAGAAAGACATTCTTGTAGTCTGAGAGGATGTTCAAAGAATGACCTCTTGGTTCATGCTCCTTCAACTCCCAAGACTAAGAGACAGAAAAAAATAAGTAGATGCAGAACTTAACCGAGTGATGTCTCCTGTGTCTTAATGAAAATCAAAACATTTGGACTTTCTGCCATCCAGCACCAATTACAATACAGCAGGTCAATACACCACTACCCACTAGCAGTGTATTAGGATCAAGTGGGACTACCCACTTGATCACCAAAGCACATGCCTCAGAACAACTCCCTTGCAAATCCAGCTTCATTAGCCAGCTGCTTGCTTACAGAGAGAAAATTCCTCTCTTGTCATGGCACTTCTCAATGCACTTCACCTCTCCTGGCTCATTATGTGCAAGGCAAAGGTCTCTGCCTCTCCACACTGGAAAGAGCTGCGGCTGGAACAAATGTACCATACTTGATGGATACTCTCTTCCATTTAGATAATTACTAATTCACTATTTCAAATTCACTTATGCACAACATATTCACAGCAAAACACCTTGCTAAATTTGATATTGCTGCAGAGCAGCAGAGATCAGTTTGTAAAGGATGTCCTTGCAGCGTTAGGGCCATTATAGCAATGCCCCACACCAAATCTGACTGGGATAGATTTTCGGTCCCTGCGTGACAGGAGCAGTTAGTTACCTGAGCAATTATATCCCCGTTCTCAGCATGAACTTGAGCTATGGCACCCAGCTCTGCCAGGCAACTGAATATCTCATACAGCTAAAAGAGAGACCAGAAAGGATTACTGAGCAGGCAGCCCACAGCCCTGGCACTCTCCATGGCCCCGCGGCCCTGGCAGTGGCAGGGCCTGGTGTGACCATGCCAGGCAGTGCCCTGGCTGTGCAGGACCAGCTCTTCTGGCTGTGCAGGACCAGCTCTCTGAAGGACAGAGTCACCAGCAAATGCTCTTGGTGATCTCCATGCCACACCTCTGCCTTCGCCTGCAGTGCAGGGGCCCAGCTGACCCATGGCAGCACAACAGAGCCCAGGGCAGCCCCAGGTGCCCCGTGCCCCCACCCCCTGCTGCCCCTGGCACCAGCACAGCCACGGTGGCAAAGGGGCTCTCACCTCGGTGTTGGACATCTGGTACAAATCCTTGTAGGCCATGTACACCATGAAGGAATTGATGCCTGTGAGAGAGCAGAGGGGAGAGAGGGTGAGCTGGGTCGGTCAGGATGCCTGCTCTGGCCACCCTCCCGA